TGACACTTCTACATCCAACTCACAGGTTTATCATTACTTTGAGAAAAGATTATTAATTTAACCCTTTTAGAAGGGAAGATATGGTCATTTGTTCTGGGAATGTCATTTTCGAGCCTGAGACCTGAAAAACAGGCTCAGAGTGGAACAGGTTAAATATACTACGTTTTGCCCTGTGGACCAACGTAGCTATTACACATTTTTTTGTGAGACTGGGTTGTTGAAATCAGCTGAGCGTTAAAACAGGGTTTCCTCTCTGTAATCACTCGGGCTCCTCCTGTGGACGGTTTCAATGTGACTGATTGGAGACAAAATGCATGTGATGATAATTCAAGGCTTTAGAAATGGGAGGTAATCAAATCAACGAAGCGTCCTCCAGAGTGTCGCTCTCGTTTCAGAACAGAATCACCTCTTTGTGTTTCACACACACACACACACACACACACACACACACACACACACACACACACACACACACACGGCTACCTGTTATCCTCGGATATTTAACGTAATGTAACTTTACTTACTCACCGGAATAAGTCCCTGAGGGAGGGTTAGGCAAATGAAGCCGCTGACGTCACTTCTTCTTCTTCTGCTTTGGGTTTACTGGCAGGCCGCAAACAACTTCACGGCGTATACTGCCACCCGAAGTCCCCGGCCGGAAGTCCCCGGAGTTGGGGAAGGCTTCAGTAGAAGCTGCTGGGACTCCCAGCAGCTTCTATTGAAGCCTTCCGAGTAAATCGCCAGAACGCCGACACCTCCTCATCTCCACCGCTCCCACGTTTTCTTTTGTGTTGCCATAAGTTAGTCTCTCTGCGTTTCGGCGCTGGGCTAATGCTAATGCTAATAATGCTAATGCGAGGATAATAAAATGGCGGCTTTACAAAACTTTTGGGGAGTTTTACGGGGCGTGGTTTGCAATCCGCCCAGCCAATCAGAAATGGGAACCTTTTTCTCCCACGAAAGTACCTGCTCTCTAGCAGGGACTGAAAAGGGGGTGAAAAGGTTCTCATGAACTCATTTTAGTTCCAGCTCTTTTTGGTGTGAACGCGACATTTCGGAACTATATCGGAACTAAAGTGGGAAAAGTACTGCGGTGTGAACGCGCCTATTCACTTGCATTGAGAGAGTGATGTGACTCAAACAGGAGGAACGAGCTGCTGCTTCCTCTTCTCTCTAAGCCTGGAACAAATATCGTCCAAATAAATACATAGAAATACACCACTATATTTACATTTCTTTCTTTCAAATGTTTTCTTTATTTTCTATACATTTATTATTTCTTTTCTTTTCTGCATGTCTTTATTGTTTATTCTGTATTATTCTACATGTCTTATTTTTTTATATTTCTTTTTCATTTTTTGACATCTTTTTATTTCTTTTTTTTACATTTCTTAATTCATTTTTGTAATGTATATTTATTTTAATATTTTTTAAACTTTTTTTCCCATTTATTTATTTTACATGTCATTATTACATTTTTCTACATTCCTTTCTTTTGTTTTCATTTATTATGTACATTTTAGTTTTTACATTAATATGTTTTTTTATATGTCATTTAATTGTTTCTAAATTTCTTTCTCTTGTTTTCGTGGTTTTTCCTGCATCTCTTTATACTCTTTTTTTTAATTGTTTATATTTTTGCACGTTTTCCTTCCATTGAACTTTTTTTCTTTTCTTCCCTACATCTCTTGATCTATTTCACATGTATTTATTTCTCTCTTCTTTCTACATTTCTTTCTCGTTCTACATTCGGCTCACTGACATCAGAACGCTGCATGTTTTTACGAGCTGTATTTTTATCTCTCTATCTCTGTGTGGGTTCACCAAGTAGAAATGAACCATTCAGATGAATGATTCATTTCTCCTGTTGTTATACATGCTAACCTTCACTTATAAACACACACACACACACACACACACACACACACACACACACACACACACACACAACAGAAACACACATACACACAACACCCATACAACACACACACACACACACACACACACACACACATCACACACAGCCACACACACCACACACACCCACACACACACACCACACACCACACACACACACAACACACACAACACACACACACACACATCACACACACACACACACACACACACACACAATACAACACACACACACATCAGACACACACTACACACACACACACACACCAGACACACACAGACACACACACACACACACACACACACACACACCACACACACAACACACACACCACACACAACACACACACACACACCCACACACACACACATACACACACACACACACACACAACACACACACACACACACCTACACACACACAGCACACACACACACCACACACACACACACACACACCACCACATACACACACACACACACACACACACACACACACACACACACACAAACTTCCTGGAAAGCAATGCATCACTTACCAGGAACACATAAAACTCCCACACGTCGTGGTTTAATGTGTGTGTATGTGTGTGTGTGTGTGTGCGTGTGTGTGTGTGTGTGTGTGTGTGTTTATATAATGAGAATGCTCTCAGAGCTCGTGACATTTCAGTGGCAGGACCCCCCCCCCCCCATAACTGGGCCTCTAAATGTCAATCTGCATCATAAGACACCTGAGGCCTGTACTACGAAGCCGGTTCAACCTAACCTGGATATGTTTGAGTTATCTTACCTAATCCAAAACAAACGCGCTCTCGCTAAACTGTCCTACAACGCTGGTTATCAACTCGGTAACTCAAGCCAGAGTTTCTCTGTCCGGCTGAGTGCGCGTTCACGTGAAAGGGGCGGGGTTAGCAACATTTGACCAATCACAAACATGGACAAGCCTCATACTTCCTGAATGAAAAGTGAACTTTGATATTAGTCAAATATGAAGAAGTTAAACTTTAAACATCCATGACTTAAACACTTTATCCAGGATCAAAGCCACATAGCTGCACCTGCAAGGTGAATACAGCTGGTAAAATAAAAAGCGTTTGAATGCGTACATTAACAGGTTTATGATATCACTGCCCCGTCCAAGACACGAGTGGATCTGACTTTAATTACATTTGACTCGAGTGTTTCGTCAACTTAATGTGTTGCTTAAAATAATACTTTTGCATACAGTATGTGACACTGTGAGTGTTGCATGGCCAGATACGGCTCAAGAAGCTGACTCAGATAAGGAAATATATGATACATTATGATGTGATATGATATGAATGATAATGGGACACATCGACGTCTGCACTCACCGTGCCGCGGACTGTACTTAATGTTACTCTGATCCGGTTACTTATGTCGTGGCAGATAATTAAGTAAGCTTTCTTAACGCTAATGTTATAATAGTCAGATTGCTCTGAAGATGGGAGGGGATATTCTATTAATTTTCACGTTCACACAGTCAGTTGATTTTTGCCGGCCGTCTTTCTGTATTTCCTTTCTCCTGTAATATGACTTGATAGCTTTAAACTCCGCACACGGAGCTCTGATTGGTCAGCAGGCGGTGCTTTCATTGAGTTGATCTCTTATCCTGGAACCTAACCTGCTCTGGACCAGGCTAGCCGTTCAGCATAAGTTAGCATGGAGATCTAGCCCGCTAAAAAGAGAACCAGTGTCGTAGGACCGAAAACCCAGAGTTTTCCCTGAAGTTAGCCGGCTAAGCGAAAATCCTGCTTCGTCGTACAGGCCTCTGAGCCCTTGTCGCTGTGACTCCACCCCCTCAGTCTGACCCCGCCCCCTCAGTCTGACTCCGCCCCCTATACTGCACTATGGCCCCGCCCCTTTCTCGCTGTGAAACCCCGCCCCTCCGTTTCACCGTATCTGCACAAAACCAGCTGATACACTTTGAATTGTATATTATTTGTTTCTAACGTTGACATTCTGGCGTTGTCTCTAAAAAAAAAAAAAAATGTAAAAAATAAATAAATAATAATAATCAATTTTATTTATAAGCGCACTTTTCATTTGAGTAAACAAACGAAACTCAAAGTGCTACAGAGTAAAATGGTACGATGTTAACGTGTTATCTCCTAACTTAAAGTGGTAAGATTACCATAAACAAACAATAAAAGGATCAAATGAATATCTTAAACCATCACTTACACACGACATGTATGTAAAGTATATGACTGGGACTATCTCCCAAAAGTGTCTGATATTTTGATCGCTGTAAAATGACAATAAAACATCTTTATGTTGTTATTTCCTTATAACAAAGACTAACAATAGCAACAGTATTCCTGTGTCGGTCGGTAACGAGTGTTCCTCCGTCGCTCAATCGCTGCTCTCTGCTGATCCATAATTGCCTTGTAGCTATGGAAACAAGTCGTCTGGGTCCTTATAGCAACACACACACACACACACACACACACACACACTGCTTATTGGCTGTAATTAACCTCTTATGGCAAATCACTTTTCCATCCATAAATCAGTGCATTTCAGTAGACCCCCCTCACTTTAATCATTATACTTTCCCGCTATACTAATCTGTTTACATGACTAATGGAAATTAGTATTCAACATTTATTCTCGTTTTTATGCTGCTATGAAATGTAGGATTTTCTTCAGTGATTTCCAGCTGTGACACCGCTTTCTTGAAAGGGTCAACTTTGTGATATTTGCGGATATTTAAAAACCTGTTGATATTCATGACTTTTATCATGTTTAAAGAGTCCTCTCCTGCTGATGTTCAGGTGTATATCAGTATGTAGTGTCTCTACTTTAAAGAGTCCTCTCCTGCTGATGTTCAGGTGTATATCAGTATGTAGTGTCTCTACTTTAAAGAGTCCTCTCCTGCTGATGTTCAGGTGTATATCAGTATGTAGTGTCTCTACTTTAAAGAGTCCTCTCCTGCTGATGTTCAGGTGTATATCAGTATGTAGTGTCTCTACTTTAAAGAGTCCTCTCCTGCTGATGTTCTGGTGTATATCAGTATGTAGTGTCTCTACTTTAAAGAGTCCTCTCCTGCTGATGTTCAGGTGTCACGGGCCTCGTGCATCTGGATGAGAATGGAGACAGAGAGACGGACTTCGCTCTGTGGGATATGATCGACACCAACACCAGCGCCTTCCAGGTCAGCATTAATATATTTATTTAACAGTTTTTGTGCCTCCACATTCGTACTCTACCATTCTCATAGACACGCACAATCGATCTGTCAGGGTTGAGTAAGCAGGCAGGACCCAAATGCAGATTTCCAAGAATAATCCTTTATTCCAAGGTACAAAGTAGAAACACAGAACACTACCCTGTGACACACAGTCAACTACAAACAATGAACCAACAATGACAGACAGAAAAACCAGAACTAAAATACACACAAGACCAATCACACAAACAAGACACAGGTGAGGAGGGAGGAGAAAACACAGGGGCACCAGGTGAACACAATCGGGCAATCAGGCAGGACAGGGGTGAACACTTTTCAAAACAAAACAGGAAACAAAAGACAGAAAAAGACGCACAACCAGGACCAACAGGGTGGGTGGAGGGGGTCTGGAGGAGGGACGCACAACCAGGACCAACAGGGTGGGTGGAGGGAGTCCGGAGGACGGGCAGGAAGGCGCCGACGGGACAGCTCCGGAGGACGGGCAGGAAGGCGCCGACGGGACAGCTCCGGAGGCCGGGCAGGAAGGCGCCGACGGGACAGCTCCGGAGGCCGGGCAGGAAGGCGCCGACGGGACAGCTCCGGAGGCCGGGCAGGAAGGCGCTGACGGGACAGCTCCGGAGGCCGGGCAGGAAGGTGCCGACGGGACAACTCCGGAGGACGAGCAGGAAGACGCCGACGGGACAGCTCCGGAGGCCGGGCAGGACCCAGTATCGGCCGGACAGGAACCGGAGCCGACGGGACAGGCGTAGACGGGATCCTGAACATGACCTGGGCTGGTGTCAATGGGACCCCGGATGGAGCAAGGGCTGGTGTCGACTGGACCCCCAACGGAACAGGACACAGAGTTGGCAGGACCCCCGGCGGGACAGGTGTCGGCGGGACCCCCAACAGGACAGGATATGGTGTTGGCAGGAAATCCGGCGGAGCAGGTGTCTGCGGGACCCCCAACGGGACAGGACAAGGGGTTGGCAGAACCCACAGCGGAACAGGTGTCGGCAGGACCTCCAACGATACTGGACGTGGAGTTGGCAGGACCCTCGGCAGGAGAGTTGTCGGCGGGACCCCCAACGGGACAGGACAAAGGATTGGCAAGACCCCCGGCAGAAGAGTAGTCGGCGAGATCCCCAACGGAACAGGACATGGAGTTGGCAAGACCCCCGGCAGGAGAGTTGTCTGCGGGACCCCCAACGGGACAGGACATAGGATTGGCAAGACCCCCGGCAGAAGAGTAGTCGGCGGGACCCCCAATGGGACAGGACACGGAGTTGGCAAGACCCCCGGCAGGAGAGTAGTCGGCGGGACCTCCAACAGCACTGGACATAGGGTTGGCAAGACCCCCGGCAGAAGAGTAGTCGGCGGGACCTCCAACGGCACCGGACACAGGACCGGCAGGACCCCCGGCAGAAGAGCAGTCGGCGGGACAGGACATGGAGTTGGCAAGACCCCCGGCAGGAGAGTAGTCGGCGGGACCTCCAACAGCACAGGACATAGGGTTGGCAGGACCCCCGGCAGGAGAGTAGTCGGCGGGACCTCCAACATCACAGGACATAGGGTTGGCAAGACCCCCGGCAGGAGAGTAGTCGGCGGGACCTCCAACGGTACAGGACATGGGGTAGGCGTCGGCCGTAGAGCCAACAGGACACGGGGGGCTGGCGTCGGCCGGAGAGCCAACAGGAGACGGGGTGCTGGAGTCGGCCGGACCACCGACAGGACACGAGGGGCTGGAGTGGGCTGAACCACTGACAAAACACGGGGTGCTGCAGTCGGCCAGACCACCGACAGGACACGAGGTGCTGGAGTCGGCCGGACCACCGACAGGACACGAGGTGCTGGAGTCGGCCGGACCACCGACAGGACACGGGGTGCTGGAGTCGGCCGGACCACCGACAGGACACGGGGTGCTGGAGTCGGCCGGACCACCGACAGGACACGGGGTGCTGGAGTCGGCCGGACCACCGACAGGACACGAGGTGCTGGAGTCGGCCGGACCACCGACAGGACACGAGGTGCTGGAGTCGGCCGGACCACCGACAGGAGACGGGGTGCTGGAGTCGGCCGGACCACCGACAGGTGACGGGGTGCTGGAGTCGGCCGGACCACCGACAGGACACGAGGTGCTGGAGTCGGCCGGACCACCGACAGGACACGAGGTGCTGGAGTCGGCCGGACCACCGACAGGACACGAGGGGCTGGAGTGGAATCCACAGGTGGACTGGAGGAGGCAGGAAATGCAGCAGAAGACGTCAAAGTCGAGACCCGAGCAGCGAGGCCCGGGAAGCATAGAGCCAAGGATCGCTGGCTTTCCTCAAAGTCTCGCCACGCCTGCTCATGTTCCTGAGAAATGGCGTGCTGGAACGGAACAGAGGGCGGAACCATGGCTGCATGGGCCGGTTCTGGAGCCGGAACCATGGCTGTTGGGGCCAGAACTGGGGCTGGAACCATGGCTGTGTGGGCCGGTTCTGGAGACGGAACCATGGCTGCTGGGGCCTGTACTGGAGCCCAAAGCATGGCTTCTGGGGGTCGGGCTGCTAGCCTGGACTTGCGACTCCTTCTCCTAGGAGCCTTTTGGAGGCTCCGTGGACCTCCAAAAGCCAGACGAGTGCCCGCGAACGGCTCCTGGACAGGAGCAGGAAATGGGGAAGAAGCAGGGGTTGACTTCAGACGGAACACACCGAGATGTATGGTGTTAGGTTGGGAGTTGGGAGGCAGGGGGCTAGCATGCCTGGGGCTAGCAGGCCGGGAATCACACGTCGACAGGAAATCCAAAATCCAGTCAGGTAAGAACTTAACTAGAGATGGATCCACTGTTGCCACCTGGTGAGCCTCTGCCAGAGCAGCCTCTCTCTGCTGAACACTGGACGCTCCCCTCCACCTACCATAGCAGCAAGCCAAAGAAAAGGTAAAATGTTGTAATTCCACCTCAAATGGATCTGCTGGGCCCATTTCTGGTTGGTTCATTCTGTCAGGGTTGAGTAAGCAGGCAGGACCCAAATGCAGATTTCCAAGAATAATCCTTTATTCCAAGGTACAAAGTAGAAACACAGAACACTACCCTGTGACACACAGTCAAATACAAACAATGAACCAACAATGACAGACAGAAAAACCAGAACTAAAATACACACAAGACCAATCACACAAACAAGACACAGGTGAGGAGGGAGGAGAAAACACAGGGGCACCAGGTGAACACAATTGGGCAATCAGGCAGGACAGGGGTGAACACTTTTCAAAACAAAACAGGAAACAAAAGACAGAAAAAGACAAGAAAAAACCCAACACAGACAGATCGTAACACGATCTGCCAAACGGGGAGGAATCATTTGTTAAAAGTGCCACAAATGTTGACTCGGACTCAACGAGGACTTGGTAAGAATTTGATATTGAAAATCCTTGTGACATCATAGAACTATGATCATTTGCCACATCACTAAATAAGCAAAGTCACGCCCAAAAATAACCCGTGATCTACTCAGCCAGTATATTAGTCAGATCACCCATCCATACGTTTTATCATGAGTTATTTCTAATTTTACTCAAGTACATCATCATCATCTGAAGAAGAAGAAGAAGAAGACATACTTTATTAAAACTCACAGGGAAATTACTTTCTCCACTCTGTTGTGTTTCCACAAGTTACACACACAGAGGATATACTGTACATGCACACACAGCGGACATACATGCACACACAGCGGACATACATGCACACACACAGAGGATATACATGCACACACACAGAGGACATACATGCACACACAGCGGACATACATGCACACACACAGAGGACATACATGCACACACACAGAGGATATACATGCACACACACAGAGGATATACATGCACACACACAGAGGACATACATGCACACACACAGAGGACATACATGCACACACAGCGGACATACATGCACACACACAGAGGATATACATGCACACACACAGAGGATATACATGCACACACAGAGGATATACATGCACACACACAGAGGATACACATGCACACACACAGAGGATATACACGCACACACACAGAGGATATACATGCACACACACAGAGGATACACATGCACACACACAGAGGATATACACGCACACACACAGAGGATATACATGCACACACAGAGGATATACATGCACACACACAGAGGATATACATGCACACACACAGAGGATATACATGCACACACACAGAGGATATACATGCACACACACAGAGGATATACATGCACACACACAGAGGATATACATGCACACACACAGAGGATATACATGCACACACACAGAGGATATACATGCACACACACAGAGGATATACATGCACACACACATGCAGAGCAGAGAGGCATCCTGTTATCCGGTGCCAGGGAGCAGTTTTGAGGTTAGGTGCATTGCTCAAGGGCACCTCGGCAGTGGCCCAGGAGGTGAACTAGCACCTCTCCAGCTACCAGCTCACACTGAGTATGAATACTTAAAATACTGCATATTGACGTGCAACATCATGCATCAATACTTCATCATTAAACTCTTATAAAGGTAAAGAGGACATAAACACTGATTTTCTAGAACTCTCTTAAACCCAACGTCTTGAAATGTTTGTTGTTTTTGTTATTTCAGATAGTTTTGGTGTACAACAGTTCAGAGGAGCAGCTGTCAGCCAACCCTGGAACCACTCTGCACTGGCTCGGAGGAGTTCGTCCTCGGGATGTTCCCTTCTGCGGCTTCAAGAACGAAAACCCTGTCTGCGTCACAAGTCTGTGAAAAACACACCAACAAGTTTACCGTATTTTTAATGTCAGCCCTGAACTTTACATATCAGTGTGTAGTGTCTCTACTTTAAAGAGTTCTCTCCTGCTGATGTTCAGGTGTATATCAGTATGTAGTGTCTCTACTTTAAAGAGTCCTCTCCTGCTGATGTTCAGGTGTATATCAGTATGTAGTGTCTCTACTTTAAAGAGTCCTCTTCTGCTGATGTTCAGGTGTATATCAGTGTGTAGTGTCTCTACTTTAAAGAGTCCTCTCCTGCTGATGTTCAGGTGTATATCAGTATGTAGTGTCTCTACTTTAAAGAGTCCTCTCCTGCTGATGTTCAGGTGTATATCAGTATGTAGTGTCTCTACTTCAAAGAGTCCTCTCCTGCTGATGTTCAGGTGTATATCAGTGTGTAGTGTCTCTACTTTAAAGAGTCCTCTCCTGCTGATGTTCAGGTGTATATCAGTATGTAGTGTCTCTACTTCAAAGAGTCCTCTCCTGCTGATGTTCAGGTGTATATCAGTATGTAGTGTCTCTACTTTAAAGAGTCCTCTCCTGCTGATGTTCAGGTGTATATCAGTATGTAGTGTCTCTACTTTAAAGAGTCCTCTCCTGCTGATGTTCAGGTGTATATCAGTATGTAGTGTCTCTACTTTAAAGAGTCCTCTCCTGCTGATGTTCAGGTGTATATCAGTATGTAGTGTCTCTACTTTAAAGAGTCCTCTCCTGCTGATGTTTAGGTGTATATCAGTATGTAGTGTCTCTACTTTAAAGAGTCCTCTCCTGCTGATGTTCAGGTGTATATCAGTATGTAGTGTCTCTACTTTAAAGAGTCCTCTCCTGCTGATGTTCAGGTGTATATCAGTATGTAGTGTCTCTACTTTAAAGAGTCCTCTCCTGCTGATGTTCAGGTGTATATCAGTATTTAGGAATACTATATATCAGGAAAGGGGAACAACATCACAGAACGGAGCATGCTAGGCCTTCCAGATATAAGATATTGAGCGTTTGAAGTGTGAATAGAATACTTAAAGGTATAATATGTAACATTTCCACATGTGTAAAACTAGCCCTGTGTTATATACTTATTTTAGTACATAGAAAGTAAAGCATTGTTTTCAGTGTGTTAAATGTAGTTGTTTGTTTTTGAATGCAGATGTTTTGTAATAGTTCCCTCTCTCTCTCAGAGACGGTCACCATCCATCAGATGGCCTTCATCGTGGTGTTCTTCATGTTCACGATGATCCTCACCATCACCTTCTTCATCTACAGGTGAGCTGCTCCTGCTCACGTTACATCTAGAAAATCAAAACTTCAAAACTCTAACCAACACACCAGTCATGAGTCTCAGTGACTTCGTGAAGCAGTTTCCCTTAAATGTCGTATTCATCAGATTATTGTCAGCACTAAGACGGGAGGCAAACTCTTTGAGTTTAGAAACCTTGATTTGAAAGCTCCATGTTTGTCGCAGCTTTTATGTAGATACGGTGGCCGACAGGTGCAAACACGTTGCAGCGCAAATGTTCCTGTACTCACGAAGAAACATCTTCAGCAACTTGACAACACATGCAGCATTTAGAGAACATTCAGCAACTTGAGGAGACATGCAGCGTTTACTAAAAGCTGCAGAAACCAAACGCTGAAGAAGCTCAAACACAACGGAGACCAGGGGACACTAAAGAGTGACGCACACAGCTGGAGACCAGGGGACACTAAAGAGTGACGCACACAGCTGGGAGACCAGGGGACACTAAAAAGTGACGCACACAGCTGGGAGACCAGGGGACACTAAAGAGTGACGCACACAGCTGGGAAACCAGGGGACACTAAAGAGTGACGCACACAGCTGGGAGACCAGGGGACACTAAAGAGTGACGCACACAGCTGGGAGACCAGGGGACACTAAAGAGTGACGCACACAGCTGGGAAACCAGGGGACACTAAAGAGTGACGCACACAGCTGGGAGACCAGGGGACACTAAAGAGTGACGCACACAGCTGGGAGACCAGGGGACACTAAAGAGTGACGCACACAGCTGGGAAACCAGGGGACACTAAAGAGTGACGCACACATCTGGAGACCAGGGGACACTAAAGAGTGACGCACACAGCTGGGAGACCAGGGGACACTAAAGAGTGACGCACACAGCTGGGAAACCAGGGGACACTAAAGAGTGACGCACACAGCTGGGAGACCAGGGGACACTAAAGAGTGAGGCACACAGCTAGGAGACCAGGGGACACTAAAGAGTGACGCACACAGCTGGGAGACCAGGGGACACTAAAGAGTGACGTACACAGCTGGGAAACCAGGGGACAATAAAGAGTGACGCACACAGCTGGGAGACCAGGGGACACTAAAGAGTGACGCACACAGCTGGGAGACCAGGGGACACTAAAGAGTGACGCATACAGTTGGGAAACCAGGGGACACTAAAGAGTGACGCACACATCTGGAGACCAGGGGACACTAAAGAGTGACGCACACAGCTGGGAGACCAGGGGACACTAAAGAGTGACGCACACAGCTGGGAAACCAGGGGACACTAAAGAGTGACGCACACAGCTGGGAGACCAGGGGACACTAAAGAGTGAGGCACACAGCTAGGAGACCAGGGGACACTAAAGAGTGACGCACACAGCTGGGAAACCAGGGGACACTAAAGAGTGACGCACACAGCTGGGAGACCAGGGGACACTAAAGAGTGAGGCACACAGCTAGGAGACCAGGGGACACTAAAGAGTGACGCTCACAGCTGGGACACCAGGGGACACTAAAGAGTGACGCTCACAGCTGGGAGACCAGGGGACACTAAAGAGTGACGCACACAGCTGGGAGACCAGGGGACACTAAAGAGTGACGCACACAGCTGGGAGACCAGGGGACACTAAAGAGTGACGCACACAGCTGGGAGACCAGGGGACACTAAAGAGTGACGCACACAGCTGGGACATCTTGGTGACGTTCAGGATTATAAAGCTGAACAGCTGTCTCTGTCTCAGAGTTACTCGTCTCAAAGTGTTGGTCAGTAGCTTTGTCCCAATTCAGCGGCCGCGTCCTCCGGAGGCTGCGTTCGTAGACCGCTTGCGTCACTTCCGCCAAAAGAAGGCTGTCCCAATTTTTTGACAAGATTCCTCCGAATGCGGCCTTCTTTTCCCGGATTTGGAGGACACATCTGATGTATCCTCCGCCGTCTACCATATCTGAGTGAGTGAGTTTTTTCAAATGAAATGGCGGTCCGGTCACTAATAAATGTGAGTATTGGGTTTCAACTTACTTTAAAATAACTAACGTCACACACGTCAAACGCAAGGGGCATTAAAACGTACATATGTACGTAAATACGTTAGTGACGCTAACTAGCTAGCTGGACGTGCTGCACTGTTGGTTTACACCTATTTTTAAAAACAGTTCAGAAGTTTACTGAAGTCATACAGAGATCTTGGCTCTGTTATAGTTACACTTTATATTACGACTATAAATAAACCAAAGTGAGAACATTTAGACCGGCTTAGTTTACAGTCCGGTGGGATTTATAAAATGGTTCCCTGACGTAGCTGCCGTTTGCTTTATTTGTTTTATCCTCTGACATTTTGCAATGTTTGACTGTTTATTAAACCTGGGGACAACATTACAACCTGTCTATCCAGCTCATGCAGCTTTGAAGTAGGGCTAAAAGAAAAGCCTATTTCAAATATTTCCACTAGATTTGATCATTCAGCTTAAAGTGTATTTAATTGATCCTAATCCAGTGATAATAGGACAATCAGAAATGGCAGCAGCCTTTAGCCTGTTCTCTCTTTCTGCAGCGCTGTCAAAGGGATGCAAGCTGTCACTTCTTCTCTTTAGTTTAAACAAAAGAAAAAACAGTAATTCATTTTAAATAAAGCTTCAGGGACTGTTTTGTCTGTAATGCTTAGTTACATTTTGCAATGATCATTTTGCAACCCTGCGTTTAATATTATTAATTCATTTTTTTCCTTTTTCTCTTGTTTTCTCTGTTATTAGGAACATTCAGGAGAACATGGACCCCCCGTGGTGCTGCAGAAAGAGAAACAGCGATCAGGGACCCCCTCCTCCCAAACCTCTGCTTCCTGCCGACTGAACAGCTGATCAGGGAACAGACTGCAGAGCGCATCACTTCATACACTTTAAAGGTCTCCTATTATACTACTTTGAGGCATATATTATAGGTCTCAGATATATACAAATATATAAAAAACATGTCTCTGAAGTGTTTTGCTCAAAATACCAAACAGATCACCCATTCTAGCCTCAAACCCGTCTATTTCCAACCCAGTCTCACGGCATTCCGTGTTATAGTCACAACATTTAATCTAATTTAATAATAATCTAATAACACACTGTTATTTACTCAACAATAACACACAATTATCCTTGTTTTTATTTATTTGTTTAATTCCATAATCTCTGGTTTTTTGGCGTCCGTCAGGAACTGAATTTCAAAATAAAAATAACCGGAAACAGACGTAGGCCTATATGGGACATTTCGAGCATCATTGCCATGGATGTATAATAAGAACGATCATTGCGATACACAGCCACTGAACTGATTACCCAAGATCCTCAGCTATGGTTTAAGCTCGGTGATTGGATGTTTTAGCCGCAATGCACGTTGGGATATGCAGTGGCGTTTTTATATGTACAAAAGTGGTGGGGCACAAACAACTTAGATGTCTATATATAAGCTTCTGCAGTGACGTGCAGTGAGGTTCATGGCTGGTGAGGCACTGGCACTGACTCTTCAGGTTTACAAATATTATATTTTGACCTAAACCAAAATATAATATTATTTTCAAAAGCTTTTTTTGTCTGATGCTTCGATTAATTTTAAACAGACAGTTCAACAAAAGGATACCCAAAAAATGTAATTTTATCATTTAAATATTGAATTGTTCTCTCTTAGTAAGATCCCATTTTCAATAAAATGGTGGTCTTACCTTGACTTGAAGATGAAGTCCATTTGCCTATCCTTCTGGACAAACATTTCTATTACTTTTTTGTAAAAGTCCTCCTTATCTTCTTGTAGTTTCAAAAGTCTATCATAAATCTAATCGATAGATTTATGATTCAAAAATTATAAAAGTAGGGTAGACATGTGGATATTATCCGGCTGAACAAAACGTGCATTTATCTAACAGGTACGTTTCCCACAGATCTTATTTCAAGCTATTTTCTAAAATCCTATGGAGAAATCTCATTGCTTTTTTGTCGAGGGAAGTCATGCGCAGCTTACTTCCGGGTTTTAGGACGCGTCACTGCAGCTCTCTTTCGCGGCACACGTACTTACAGCCAATCAACTCTGAATTATGTGAGATGACGTATGGTGGGGATGGTAGCTCCGTGCCCCTCTGGTCATTATTTTTTTGTCACACACATTAAATAGGAAAATACTCTGAGCATGCGCAGTGTAGTTTTTACAGTCACCGTTCACTCACAGTGAGAGGGAGGGGCATGATCAGGTTTTGTCCCACATGGCTCTAAACAGCTCAATAGCATAGACTGTATATATAAAGCTCAATAGGCACACACTGTAGACACTAATTAGAAGAACACAGACTAAAACAGCAATGTACAGACGAATCAGATGATTAAACATGATCTTAAAATATATTTTATATATTTTTTAATTTATTTTTTGCATTTTTTGTAATCATCATACTTTCTGCTGACACTAGGTGGGGCTGTGCCCCACCTGCCCCTAATGACCAGTCGCCACTGGGGATATGGTGTTAATGCGATATGAAATCCGAAAAACATTTCGGAGTTTAGGATGGCCGAAGACACTACACTACCCATAATCCCCAACTATCGTTTGGGACTACAGTCCCCGTGATTAATCTTCAAGCTCTGTGATTGGATGTTGGAGTGGCAGTGCGCCAAGGTTACGCCGAGCGTCAAACAGCTCTTTGAAATGGAACGAAACCACGGCAGACTATCCAAAACTGGATTCGAACGGGATCAGACCCCCCCCCCCAGAACTATACATGCTGGCTATTGTGTTTCGCACAATGTTCTATGGGACGTCTCTACTGGGAACGTTTTTGTTTTTCCCACAATTAGAAGTTGCCAGTATTAAACACATTGGTGTTATCAAATGTAAAACATGTAATTAATAAATGGGTGAAAATCGCTTGGTCCATAATTAAACAAACAAAATGGCGCAGACCGCGTCTATTTCGCGCCAAAACCACACCGTAATTATCACCCAAAATGCTATTTCTTATGATGGTGACTGAACAAAAACTGGTTAATAATCTACCCAAATTGACACTAAACAACATACATCACTTTCATCAACTTAAATAGCCGGTTAACCACAAAATTGTAATAAACTGCGACACAATTCCTAGCACAACTCACCCTCAGCAGCACTTCAGTGTGAGGGGAGAGCGGGATGGCATTCAGGAAGTAGACAAAGATGTGCAAGGGGAAAGTGTTCCCACTGGAAACATCACTCAAAAATATTAAACGAAACAATGTCATAAAGATAACATTCACAACCTATTGTAAATCATCCTTTATAAACTAATAATTATGTATACACATTTTTAACTCTGTTACATAAGGCCCGCCCACATTTTAGTAATGTGGTCATGACGCAGCAAATCTGGATCAGCTCCGTTGTTCCCCCGTTTTTAGAGATGTGGGTACGGAGGAAAAGAGAGACGGTTTGATTTCCTGACACTTTGTGAGTCTCCTGACACACCGGGGACACACCGGGGACACACCGGGGACACACCGGGGACACACCGGGGGGACACACCACACCGGGGACACACTGGGGACACACCACACCGGGGACACACCACACCGGGGACACACCACACCGGGGACACACCACACCGGGGACACACCGGGGACACACCACACCGGGGACACACCGGGGACACACCACACTGGGGACACACCTGGGACACACCACACCGGGGACACACCGGGGACACACCACACCTGGGACACACCACACCGGGGACACACCGGGGACACACCGGGGACACACCGGGGACACACCACACCGGGGACACACCAGGGACACACCACACCGGGGACACATAGTTACGTATAAAAGACATTGAAAAGTGCATTTTGCTTGATAGGAGACCTTTAAATGAACAAATCACATCTGTATGCCATACACTGTATGTACTTATTACGTTGCTGTTATCAGGTTATATATTTGCAATACTGTCTAGACACTTATATTACTTCATCTAAATTGTGTTTGCTTATATTCATCTATATTTCATCTTGCACTTTTTTGTGTCTTACGTTTTTTTTGGTCTTTTTTTTCATATATAATGAATGACTATAGCTTGAGTCGGTCTGATTCCCCAAAACTCTTATTACCAAACAGCTGCTTTTCTGTTGTTGTTGCATAATAAAAATAATACAAAAATAACTCACTTCTGCTGATACTTGTTTTACTGCTGATTGTGTTAAAGTCCATGATCGATTTCCTCTGTCTTCCATGCTGCTCATGATAGAAGACATGAAGCTGCAGAGAGAGGATGGATATATTCTAACCTCTACTTTGGGATTACATGAAAATAAGACATTGAATTAAAATCGTACTTTTTAAATACATTGTTTATTTCATTCACTGGTTTTAACCATTATTTACAACATGAAGTACATAAGCAGTTGAATAGGTCATTAAACGTGGCGTGTGGCGCAGTGGGTTGTCTGTTGGTGTTCGGATCAGGGGAGCACAGGTTCAAACCCCACTGCAGTCAGCATGTCGTTGTGTCCCTGAGACACTTCACCCCAAAGTGCTCCTGTGGGGATTGCCCACAGAATTGAGTATGTAAGTCGCTTTGGATAAAAGCGTCTAACAAGTGACATGTAATGTAATGTAAACAGTCTTTAATTTAGTTTAATTATATTAATAAGAAAAGCTTTTAATAGTATGTTCAGCAGAGCCGGGGTCTCGGTGCTGACCTGGTGTCAGTGGGACTTCATCTGGGCTGCTTTAGGGAAGAAGGAGAATATAAACTGTTATAAACCACAGCTAGATATTACGATTAGAAAACTAATATTGTTCAGAATCTATCTATAAAACATGCTTTGGTTGATTAGGTAAACAAACATATTTCTATAGAATATATAGACTTGGAGGATGAAACCCTCTTTAATGGTGACACATACACGCACGCAGCTTTTAACCCATCCTAGTACTGGGAGCAGTGGGCAGATATTGCACAGCGCAGGAGTGGGCGAGTGGGGGGTGTCCGGTGCCTTGCTCAGGGGCACCACGGCAGGGCCCAGGAGGTGAACTGGGACCAAGTAGCTGTCCACTCTCCATATTTAGGTCTGTTCGGGGACTTGAACCGGCGACCCTACGGCTCCAAGCCCCTACTGACTATTATTAGATCAGAAAGATTACACTTATTTTAGATATGAAATGATATGATTAAATGACATCAGCTATATAGACACTGTAATGGCAACTTTAATGTTCCAATGCCCTATATTCTATGAGCATCTGCCGGGCTGGTGGAATCGGTGTGCTCTTCCTCCTGTGTCCTCTTCTTCCGGTCACCTATGACCCCTTTTATACACCCAGTGCAGCTAAACCCCGCCACCAAGTGTCCAAAAATAATATTGCAGTATAAATGGCTCCTGCAGACACCTTATAGGATGCTAGTATATCTGAAATGACTAGGTTAGCTACGTTAGCTAGCTAGCTTACAGCAGATCTGCAGTAACATCAGAAGGAGTCATGTGATCACATCAGACAGTTGTTGTTGTTGTTGTTGTCCCCCCCCCCTGCAGGAGGATGAAGCTGGAGAAGGAGCTGGTGGCTCAGCTCTGGAGGATCTCCTGGAACGACATTCAGATGGGGAACCTGGAGAAAGTGCTGCGGAGCGGCAGCAGGATCACACTGTCACTGGTCAGCTCACACATGCACACACACGCACGCACACACACACACACACACACACACACACACACACACACACACACACCGTGTCTCTTATTAAGTGTTTCTGCACGTCTCTGAATTCCTGAAAAAAAAAAAATGCCTGTAAAAGATATACAAAAATATCCTAAAAATGAGTGGAAAATGTTTTTAAAATAACCAAATAAATGTGAATAAAGTCTGCAAAATACCCTAAAAATGCATAAAGAGTACTATACAAAAATATATCCTAAGAAAAAGTGGAATATATCTGAACGAATCCCCTAAAAATATGTGAAACACGTTAGGGCTTTGCGATTATGGCAAAAATCATAATCACGATTATTTGGGTCAATAATTGATATCACGATTATTAAATACGATTATTCATTGACTTTGAAAACATCCATTTATTGAACTTTTAAATACAAATAATAATTTGAACAGTATCTTTTTAACTGTTGATTTCCCTGAAAAACCAATACAATTAAATAAATTATACATTTATATAAATAATATCAAAATAATAAATACCAATAAACAAGATCAACAAATATTTTGGAGCGCACTTCAACAAGCTACTAAACATATATAAATATGATAAATACAAATTAATTAGATCAAATATGTTGCAGTGCACGGTCACAACCTAGCAAAGCAAAATAATCGTTTTTTTCGATTATGTTGTTTTCGAAATTGTGGCAGGCCAAAATCGTAATTGCGATTAAAATACGATTAATTGCACAGCCCTAAAACACGTCTTAAAAATGTCTGAAAACGTATTGAAAAAGAATATCTGAATAATGTGTAAGAAAAAACAGTAAAAACAACGAGATGAAAACACAAGAGGATATATATAGAATATGAAGCATTGCTGCAGATTAAACTAGCCAACATTATATAAAACATGCACATCAACGCTGCAGTAATCCACACTCATCATATAAGATATAAAACATTTTACTTTAGGTACTTTAACTACATTTAGCTTCAGTAAGGTTTTGAATTCAGTACTTTGAATGGCTGACGGTTATTTCCACCCTCTCTTTCTGCAGAGAGGCTCTAACTACGGCTCCCTGATGACTGGGGATGGAAACATGCAGGTTTTTGCAAAAACTGGATATTTTAAGGTGAGTTTACATTAGAAGAAACACGTTATATTATGCACCACATGTATCCCCTATTTTCCAATTCCTTTCTATATTGTTATGGCTGCTGAGTGGTGCACAGAGATATCCTATAATCATTTAGTTTAGGAGAAGGCCACATGCTAAAGATCCTTAAAGCTGCACTTTCTCTACTGTCCTGCAGGGGGCGACTCCACTGGTTGATTGTATGGAAGTCTATGAGAAAATGAGCCTACTTCTCTCTTGATTTATCACCTCAGTAAATGTTTCCTGATGAGTTGATGCTCTCAATGTGTAGTCTTCTTCAACACAGCATGTTGTTCCTTTAGTGAAATGGTCCCGTTTGGAGTGAACATGTTGTGTTTCTCCAGGGAAACATCGTGGCCATTAAATACACCAACAGGAAGCGCTTCGAGCTGAACAGGGAGGTCCTGTTCGAGCTCAAACACGTGAGTGACCTTCAGATTTAAACACATTTTGTTTATAAGGAAACAAAGGAGGGCCATACCATGTTTGTTCTCTTTTAAAATAATGCTTCACGATCATCACATTTTAAACGGGATAGGCACATGGAGAAGGCTGATGATGCATTCAGGTGCTACTCGGAGACGGGGTGTTTTTCCTCTAAGTTGCGCGTGTTAATGAACTTAAATGTGGGAACAAGATGCTCTAAAGAAGTGTCCTTTAAACACGTTGATATCTGTCTCGGAGTTGTTGTTGCAGTCGGGAACTCATTTGACTGCAACATCACATGAAAGCAGTGCAATCTCACAATGTTAGCGAAATGAAAACACAATCTGTGTATGTCCCGCCCCTTAGCCTATCACGCACAATGTGTTGGAGCGCAAGCCAATAGCAGCATGAATGTTCCATAGTGATGTCACTATGTTCCTGAAGGTTCAAGTTCAAGGTTCAAGGTTCTTTATTGTCAATCTGACATAGCTACAGAGTAATTATGCAGTTGAAAATCTTATGTCACAGGCTTCTCCAACAATGCAACATAATAACATAACATAATAACAATAAGAGCAAGAGCAATACAAAAATAATAATAGTTATAAAAATGAAATAAAGTTATGATGTGGAATAGTGCAGTATGAGTCTATATACAAGTTATTGGAATGATATATATATATTAGGTATTAGATACATACTACTGAGTAGCAGTTGAATGTTTGATGTTGTTTCAACAGTTCAATTGTTTAACAGTCTCACTGCCCGCGGGAAGAAACTGTCTCCGAATCTTCTTGTCCTTGCCCGGATGCTGCGGTAACGTCTGCCAGACGGCAACAGAAAGAACAGTTTGTGGCTGGGGTGATGGGGGTCTTTGATAATCCGTAGTGATTTCTTCCTGAGCCGCTGGGAGTAAAGGTCCTCCATGGATGGCAGCTCCGTCCTGGTGATGTGCTGTGCAGTTTTCACCACCCTCTGTAAAGCCTTACGATCGAGGTCGGTGCAGCTGCCGTACCAGGCCGTCATGCTGCCAGTGAGGATACTCTCTATCGTGCACCTGTAGAAGTTGCAGAGTATCCTGGAATCCATTTTGAACCTCCTCAGCCTGCGGAGGAAGAAGAGCCGCTGTCGAGCTTTCTTGGTGATGGTGGTGGTGTGAAGAGACCATGTCAGGTCCTCAGTGATGTGGACCCCAAGGAACCTGAAGCTTTTGACTCTCTCCACCGTAGTCCCATTGATGGCGATGGGGGCGTGTCCCTCTCCCTGCTGCTTCCTGTAATCCACAATCAGCTCCTTTGTTTTGCTGATGTTGAGATGGAGGTTGTTCTCCTGGCACCAAGATGTCAGGTTTTCGACCTCCTCTCTGTATGCCGTCTCGTCATCGTCTGTGATCTGGCCGATGACGGTCGTGTCATCAGCAAACTTCACGATGGTGTTGGAGCTGTGTGTGGCCACGCAGTCGTGGGTGAACAGGGAGTAGAGGAGAGGGCTGAGCACGCAGCCTTGAGGGGCACCGGTGTTAAGAATCAGGGTGGAGGATGTGATGTTTCCCACCCGCACTGCCTGGGGTCTGCCCGTCAGGAAGTTCAGGATCCAGTCGCAGAGGGCGCTGTTGAGCCCGAGGTCTCTGAGCTTGATGGCCAGCTTGGAGGGCACAATGGTGTTGAATGCTGAACTGTAGTCAATGAACAGCATTCTCACATATGTGTTCCTGTTCTTCGGGTCCAGGTGTGAGAGGGCAGTGTGGAGGGTGAGGGCTATGGCGTCGTCTGTGGACCTGTTTGCTCTGTAGGCAAACTGCAGGGGGTCCAGAGATTCAGGGAGGGAGGAGGTGATGAATAATTTGACTAACCGCTCAAAGCACTTCATTATGATGGAGGTGAGTGCTACTGGGCGGTAGTCGTTGGGGCAGGTGATGATTGTCTTTTTGGGGACAGGAATGATGGTGGAGTGTTTAAGACATGTGGGGACTACAGACTGCAGCAGGGACCTGTTGAAGATGTCTGTGAACACCTCTGCCAGCTGAACTGCACACACCCTGAGAACACGGCCAGGGATGCCATCAGGTCCAGGAGCCTTGTGTGGGTTAACCCTTTTAAAGGATTTACACACATCTGCCCTATTTAAAACAAAAGGGCAGTGTAGCTCCTGGTCCCTCTGTACCTCCACAGCCTGGCTGCTCTCAAAGCGTGCAAAAAAACTGTTTAGCTCATCTGGGAGAGATGCGCACGCAGACACTCCCGCAGCACCCCCCGCTGCTCCTTTGTAGTCAGTCATTGTCCTTAGTCCCGCCCACATATTCCTAGTGTTACAGCCTTTGAAGTCAGATTCCACCTTCTCTTTGTACTGTCTCTTTGCATTTTTTATTGCTCTCCGGAGATCATACCTAGACTTCCTGTACTCCTCCAAATCTCCCGCTGTGTGCGCGAGAGTGCGCGCTTTCAGTTTGCCGCGCACCTCACCGTTTACCCAGGGCTTTTGATTTGGGAATGTCCGTACAGAAACCTTCGGTACCACGTCATCGATGCATTTCCCAATGTAGCAGATGACAGTGTCCGTGTGTGTGTTGATGTTATTGTCCTCAAACACACTCCAATCCGTAGATGCAAAGCAATCCTGCAGTGCTGAATCTGACTCCTCGCTCCATCGTTGTACTGTCCTTGTTATCGGTCTGTCCCTTTTAAGTTTCTGCTTGTAAGCAGGCAACAACAGTAGTGAGATATGGTCTGATTTGCCGAAGGGAGGGCGAGGGAGAGCCTTATATCCATTCCGGAAAGGGGAATAAACATGGTCCAGTATGTTTCCCCCGCGCGTCGGGAAGTTGATGTGTTGGTAATATTTTGGCAAAACCTTCTTCATGTTGGCGGTGTTGAAATCTCCGGCCACAACGAACGCCGCATCTGGCCGTGAAGTCTCGGTTTTATCAATAAACCCAAACAGCTGATCGAGTGCCGTGTTGTTGTCGGCGAGTGGCTGCGGCGGGATATACACTGCTGTTATCACAACAGATGTGAATTCCCTCGGCAGATGGAAGGCCCGACATGAGATCATGAGGTGCTCTAGCTGTGCGGAACAGTCCGATGAAATAATCTTCACATCTGAGCACCAGTTGTTGTTAGTCATTACACACACACCGCCTCCCTTACTTTTCCCCGAGTTTGCAGTCCGGTCCTGACGAAAATAGAGAATCCGTCAGGGACAATAGCGGAGTCCGGGATAGCGGGGTTGAGCCAAGTCTCAGTGAGAATTAACACGTTACAGTTCTTAATGTCCCGTTGAAAAGCAATCCGGCTTCTGAGTTCATCTAGCTTATTTTCAATGGATTGAACATTAGCCAGAAGAATACTCGGAAGAGGGGGCCGATTCTCACGTTTTCTTAGTCTGACCAGCAACCCGGCCCGGCATCCTCGCTTTGTCTTCTTCTTGCGTCTCTCAGGTAGAACAGCAACAGGTAGCCATGGTGAATCTCCATTGTCTGTCGGAGGGTTAATATTGTCCACGAAGTTTCGCAATTGGAAAAGTTCCTCTCTGCTATATTGTATGGCAGAGTAGGTGCGGTCGGCTAGCATGTTGCGAACCATGTTAAAAGTAAAACGGCAAAAGTAAAAGAAATATGTACAAAATACGAAAATGGGCAAAGTTGGAGAGGAGCACAAAGACAATGCGGCCATCTTCACCGGCGCATCTCACTCATTTCATTTTGAAGTAAACAAAGGAGTCCAATAGAGGTGTTTCAAGCGGGGGGGGGGGGGGGGGGGGGGATGTGTGAGAGAGAAACTCCCTCTGAAGGGAAAACAGGGATATTAGCGTCTGCAGACCATTTACATGCACTAAAGCCTAACACACTACAGGAGAGGGGAACCCAAAATAGCAGAATAGACTTTAACAGGTTTTTTTTGGCTGATCCTTCAAGAAATCAGGCCAGTAGTTTTCAGTCATCAGTGACATAATAACATCATAAAATGTGTGTATTCTCTGTGATGTGTTTTGTATCCTGTGTGTGTAGATGCGGGACGTTCAGAACGAACATCTGACGAGGTTCATCGGAGCGTGCATCGACCCCCCCAACACCTGCATCCTCTCAGAGTACTGCCCCAGAGGGAGTCTGCAGGTACACCTGTCTGTCTGTCTGTCTGTCTGTCTGTCTGTCTGTCTGTCTGTCTGTCTGTCTGTCTGTCAGACTGTCTGTCTGTCTGTCTCACTGTCTGTCTGTTTTCCTCTCTGTCTGTCTGTCTGTCTGTCTGTCTGTCTGCCTCTGTCTGTCTGTCTGTCTGCCTCTGTCTGTCTGTCTGTCTGTCTGTCTGCCTCTGTCTGTCTGTCCCTCTCTCTCTCTGTCTGTCTGTCTGTCTGTCTGTCCCTCTCTCTCTCTGTCTGTCTGTCTGTCTGTCTGTTTGTCTGTCTGTTACAGTCTGTATTTTGCATCTTCAGGACATTTTGGAGAACGACAGCATCACTCTGGACTGGATGTTTAAATATTCTCTCATCAATGATATCGTTAAGGTAAATCCTTATTATTATAACTAATAATTGACCAATCAGAATTGAGTATTCCACAGAGCTATGTAATACACATATGTATATATACTCTCTCTGCAGGGCATGGTGTTCCTCCACAACAGCGTGATCCTGTCTCACGGGAAACTCAAGTCCTCTAACTGTGTGGTGGATAACCGCTTCGTGCTGAAGATCACAGATTACGGTCTGTCCAGCTTCAGGTCTGAGAGCTCGGGGAAAGACGCTCACGCATATTACGCCCGTGAGTCATCCTGTTTACTGACACTCTGACTCTGTTTGTCCTTTAGCTTTTACATGATCTGTCTGTCTGTCTGTGTGTCTTTCTGTCTGTCTGTGTCTGTGTGTTTGTCTTACTGTGTGTGTGTCTTTCTGTGTTTGTGTGTGTGGTTGTGTGTGGTTGTGTCTTTCTTTCTATATATCTGTAAATCAAGCTAGCTAACGTTCCCTATCTACCTTGTTAGCTAGCTTACCTTAGCTCCTTAGATACCCATGTTGGCTAGCGAATGTTAGCTATCTAGCTAAGTTAAAGTGGACCTATCATGCTATATTTTAATAATTTAAGTAGTTATAATGATCCACTTTCAATCACATTAGTATGCATAGAAAGTGACAGGTGCTGTGACAGGTCACACCTACTACTACTTATGCTAATGAGCCCCTTTGATATGTTAATGAGCCCCTTTGTTCGAGGTGTTATCGCGTGTAGGTGTGATATCACAGATAGGTGTGATATCCTTTGATGTGAGGGGTGAGGTGTTGTAACATGTAGGTGTGATATTCCCCATTGTAGTAGATCCTTTGTTGTCTAATCTAATTAGCCTTTGATGTCTGCCCTTTGTTGTCTAATCTAATTACCCTTTGATGTCTATCCTTTGATGTGAGGGGTGAGGTGTTGTAACATGTAGGTGTGATATTCCCCCTTGTAGTAGATCCTTTGTTGTCTAATCTAATTAGCCTTTGATGTCTGCCCTTTGTTGTCTAATCTAATTACCCTTTGATGTCTGTCCTTTGATGTGAGGGTGGTGAGGTGTTGTAACATGTAGGTGTGATATCACACCGACGTGTTATAAGCCTTTGATGTCAATCTAATTAGCCCTTTGATGTCAGTCCTTTGATGTAAGGTGGGTGAGGTGTTATAACATGCCGGTGTGATATCGCACCGGCGTGTTATAAGCCTTTGATGTCAATCTAATTAGCCCTTGAAGTCAATCTAATTAGCCCTTTGATGTATGTCCTTTGATCAGTGTTTGTAACTAGTATTAAGACAATCTCTTTGAAGTTGTGTGAGACTGTCTCGCACCCCGTCCTCCTCCCACCCGTCCCCCTCCCACCCCTTCCCCATTCCTTTTGCTGTGATGTCAGAAGATAGAGGTGGGGGTGGAGTTAGATAAAAAAGATAAAAAGCCACTCACCAAGTCACCTAAACTTTCAAAAACGAAAATGGCAAAGAGACGCATCGATATGGGTTTAATCAGCGAGACGCCTGTGACAACTTACCGCCATCCGTCGGGAGCGCCAGTCAAGAAACGGATGCAGTATCTGTGCCGTGTTCAAACCCCTCCGTCTGAGGCTCTTCATGAAAAATGGAGTCTGGGTGTGTGAGACTGTCTCCCCTCCCTCCCCTCCCACCCCTCCCTTCCCCCCTGCCTGTCACCTCCTGATTTGGCTATCAGCCATTAATTTTCACTCACCAAGTCACCTAAAACTTTTATTGTCCTCTCTAAATTAGATTAGTTTTAATATAATTTGTGTTAACTATGGATGTTCTCTTAAGTTGTAGGGCTTGTGAACTAATGTTTAATTATTTTACTAACTACAACAAAGTCTCTTTGAGAGGAAAATAATAATTTAAAAGATCTTAATCCCCCTTGATCTTGTATTTGTAATATTTTAATTACTTTATTAACTATAAGGAAGATTTACTGGTATGCTTCCCTAGATGATGTAAATAGTCTAAGTGTCATGTTAGGGGGACATTACGGAACTCAGGAGTCCGCCCTTGGAGGCTTGGAGAGCGGATAAAGAGAGGTGTATTTACTGGTGTTGAGCCCTGGATGATGTAAATAGTCCAAGTGCCGTGGTAGGGGGACATTACGGAACTCAGGAGTCCGCCCTTTGAGGCGTTGTTAACATTAATGCTTTTTGCTTTTGTTTTTGTTACTAAGATACTTTTTAGATACACTTTTGAAGTGAGCAACACTTTACAACTGGTAGAAAGTTAAGTACTTTGTATGGAATTGGGTTTTCTTTTAGAGCTGTTTTCAGTGAGACAATGCAGTTTCTGATCATTTTAAGTTTTCAAGTTTCAAGGCTTTATGGCATATGCCCATTAGCTACAGTGTAGATATGTCAATGAGAAACATAGGTCACAGGCTCCTCCAACAGTGCAACAAATATATATATACATATAGAGCACATAAAACAGATAAAATACTGCAATAGAATGTTTTGATATGACAGATTTGTGCGTAATTCTCTCACAAAGGAACTGTAAGATACACGTTTATGTATGGAAAACTTTATAACTTGGTAAAATATTCATTCATTTCTAATGAATTGAGATTCTTAAAGAATCAAACTCTAAATGGAGAGTTTGTGATTTTAACACTGTTTCGATGAAACAATGCAGTTTTGATAACTTCACTTGACTAACATTACTTTTTTAAATATATGTTTTGTTAGATGACTTTACTGATTTTTGCTTTTTTCTTCCTTGCTTTTGTTTGTGTTACTAAGATACTTTTAGATACACTTTGAAGTGTGCAACACTTTACAACTGATAGAATAGTACTTTGTAAGGAATTTGTTTTCTTGGTAGAATATAAAGTACTTTGCAAGGAATTGGGTTTCTTAACAATCCTGCTCCACCATTAAATCACTTAATCTGCTACTTCCAGGCAAAGCTTTAAAACTTGTATCGTGTATTAAGTCATGTCTTGGTAAAAATGAGAGTCCTGGGTGCTTTAAAACATTTCTTAGAACATTTTGATATATTCAAACACATAATGAACTGCAATGACTCTGGCTCACTGCTGCATCAAATTTATTTTACACTGTTGTGGGGACAAGACTGTGAGACTCTCAGACCCTTTGTTGTCAATCTAATTAGCCTTGATCTATAAAAAAGTCACCTTCTACTTTTATTTGTCCTCTCTAAATTAGATTTAGGGTTTTTAAAATTCTGAAAAGGCGTGTTGTGAGGGGGAAAAAACAGATGTATGTATGCGGTTTTGAATGGTGGCTGGTTGATGAAAACTGATGCAAAATAAGGGGTCAGGAATAATATGGCTTGAAATATGAGCAATCATGTTAATAGCTACAGATACGGTAAAGTACTACAACAACAACATAGGAGTGCTTATACTGTATGTTGTAAAAGCAGGACAAACAAATAAATAAAATGCTGCATTGTTTTTGAAACAAGAACCATATGCCCAAGGCATTTCTACATTTAGATGACATGTTCAGAACTCAGTACATTTGAACCAATAACTAATTTAACCATCAACATCAATTTAAGTGCACACAGCAGTGCAAACAAAACAAAAAACAGGCTTGTGTGCATCAGACAACTCAAATTACTCCACTTTAACCATATTTAGAATGTCCTCATTTTAACTAAAGTAATTTAACCTAAGTGGAGCCAACCTAAGGAGTGGGCACTACAGTCAGGGACTAGCTTACTTTTTAACATTCTACTCAAAGGGCCCGTAAATATTATCTCCGCGAATATGCTATATTAAATTATCATTATTTTTTTTTTTTAAAACTCATAGTATTTCATGTTGAAATGATCAAGGAAAAGCCAGTCAATGTTATGTTAACACAAACAAAAGTTCTGTTTTATATGTTGAAATATAATTTAAAAAACAATGATATAGTATTTTCAAGTCTTACTTTAGTATGGCAAATTTAAGAATAAGTCACATTAAAGTTTTGTCATGATTTTCCGTAAAAAAGTCAAGTATAGTTTGTCAAAAGAATATGAAAAAAAAATCATTTTGTAGTTACAAACGGATGCTGGAAAAGAGTTATTTGTTTCTTGTTAAATAATTCTTTTCCAGCATCCGTTTGTAACTTTTTAGGAATCTGACTATCTTTTAGAATTGCATCAAATGCTATAGCCACTTCTAAGATACGTTTTTTTAAATGTTTTTCTCTCATCCTGCTATATTCCTTCCAGGGGAGGATCCCTGGGGATTGATCAGAGCAAAGAAAGGCTGTAAACACTGACACACAAAACACTGAAACACTGAAACACTGACACACAAAACACTGAAACACTGAAACACTGAAACACAAAACACTGAAATACTGAAACACTGAAAACACTGACACACAAAAACACAGAAGCACAAAACACTGAAACACTGAAACACTGAAACACTGAAATACTGAAACACTGAAAACACTGACACACAAAAACACAGAAGCACAAAACACTGAAACACCGACACACAGAAACACCGAAAACTATTAAACAGCCCTGCTATATACTATGACCATTCTTTACTTATTTATAATATGGTTCAAATGGAGTAATTTGAGTTGTCTGATGCACTTGATACAATTTTACTTTTTAAAATACTGATGTGTTTATTCAAAACCATTTCAACACACCGTAAGTCATGACTTTTTCAAGATCTTTTTGTCAAACTATACTATGACTTTCTCTCATTTTTTTATTTTTTTTTAGAGATCCTATACTGACATTGCAGACAAACTATATAATATAATTCTTAACTACATACTATACTTGGACTTTTTTCAAGATACTTTTAACATACTATACTAGTACTTTTAAAATAAATGTTCGGACATTCTACACTGTGACTCTTTTTTAAAATGATATGTAGGAAATACTATACTATGATTTGAAGACAACAGTTTTTTAAAATGTAAAAAACACTTTTTTTATTTGCAGAATTTCATATTTACAATTTATTGTTTTCACCCCATAGGAATCAATAATACATTTATACTGATTGCAACATCCCCAGGATCTTCTCCAGCACAGAATCCCCCAGATGAAGGGAAATATTATAATGGAGTTTTTGCACTTCGGCCAAAATATTCATGTGTATGCTGTTTTTGACACAAAGATGCATTACATCTACAAACAGAGCATACAATGCGAGCACATGATACACTTTTGGTGTTTGTTTCATTTCTTCGGTAATGTTACAGAATGTTTCGGAAAATGAAGATTCCAGTACCACTTTAAATGTTTCGTTTACAATC